TCTCTCTCTCTCTCTCTCCCTCTTTCTCTCTCTGCTTTTGCTGTCTTCCACTGACATGAACTGTAGCACCTCTGCCATATGCTGTGCTCCCTTGCAGCTAGCCAATGATAGACTGAAACTTCTACAAACTGTAAACTAAATAAACCTTATACTTAAAATAATAAATTTAATGCTCCTTTTAATTTCTTTTTTTTTTTATCTTTTAAAACCAAAGCATTTATTTTGAGTGAGTGTTGCAATTCTCAAGATGAACTGGACGCTGCAACTGCTGCTCTCTTGGGTTTAGGTGTCGTTCCTTCGCGGAAGCCATGCCTGAATCTGCGATATACAATTTTTAGGTGCCTCATTCGACAGGTTCCGGTAGTATTTCGCCTTTTAGCCTTTGCACTCCAGTTATACTTTCTTTTGCGCTTGGCGGGATAGCCACATTTGCCACAAGTCGACTTCTGAAGGTGGTAGGCCTTAGAGCCACAGCGGCGGCACAACGTGTGCGTCTTATTACGACGCTTTCCAAAGGATGACGTTCCCTTCGTCATCTCGCTTGTGCCGCCGAGACCAAAGAGCTCCTTTTAATTTCATAGTGTTAGAGAAAAGACCAAATTTAGTTGAGTACCATAATAACCCAAGTCAAGAAAACTGTTACATTAATAAGTTAGGGAAAAGTAATTTGAAATTAGAATGTCAGACTCCTGGACATTTTTCTTTTACAATCAGTAAATCATTTGGAAAACTCCTTTCTCTGAAAATTATTAGTAGATTTCCCTAATAATTATAGGCAACTGTTCAAAATGTCTGAGAGGTACGACCAGGATATTAGTGTTTTAGCTGAGGATTTTTGTTTGTTTGTTTTATATTTTTAGGGAAGGGTCTACAGGGTGTTCAGGGTCTCACTACTAGAACGTAGTCGTAGTGATCTGCTTGCTTGCAGCCTCCCAAGTGCTGCAATTATAGGTGCGCACCACCAAGCCCAGTCTCAGTCGCTGTCTCAGAGTGTCCTGGGGGTGGGGCAGGCATGGCTAGCTGAGGAAATTAAAAAGAAAACAAATCAACTATTTTTTCCCCACAGTTAGACACAGATATGCCAAATATGTTTCTGTTTTGCAGAAATATATAAAACTTAGAATATATGAAGTTAATAGGTGCATTTTCCCTAGGACATGTGAGTTTATTTGCATTGTCAAACATACTAACTTCATCTTGCCTGTTCTTTTTTATTTTTTATTTTTTCATTTTTTTTATTTTTTTTTCAACAAATAATACACTGCATATATTCTTCTTAGTGGTTAATTGCTGTACAAGATGCGGACTTGTGATCCTATTTACAAACACCATTA